AATGCCAACAATTTGTGGAAGAAACAAACAGTTATAGTTTTAGTTCATAGTGATTCCACAAATTAATCAGTCAGTAACTAGTTAATCAGTTAGTCATTAACTAGCTTTTTCAAAGTCGTTTTCCCTCTACTTGCTGTAGTCGAAAAAATTTGTTTACCCTTTGTGTTGCATGAGTTTCATATTTGACAAATCGAACGACTTCGTCAAGTATGTTAATACACAAAAAGAGGCCACAAATACCTGAAAACTTGTTCGATCAGTTAAGTATCCCCATCCAACACGCGCGACTGCATTTACTGTTGATCCTATTGCAAATGCTCTGGCGAGGAAGAAATCATCATCAATAAAAGTTTCGGCAAATGTCTAAACATGGTTAAAATCGAAAAAAAGATAAATTGTGGTTATTGCAAGCACACCTTGTAAAGATTGTAAAACATATTTGCGTAGAATGAACAGCAGAACAAAGCAGCAAACAGAAAATAGAATGTCGAGGAAGCGAGCATCTCATCTGGTCGCATGGATTTTTCGCTGAAATAATAGTTCTTTCACTAATTTAGAAACAAATAGGAAATTTACATACTTGGGCCGATCATTCAAAAATACATCCGACGTATCGGAATCCTCGCTGGTACTTGATTCCCGGGATACGGAACGATGCCTGGTGATTGTCTCGCGGGAGTTGGTCTAAATGGTAACGTTTTGAGTTTATGTTGTCAAAGGAAACAAAGAAGAGACTTAGAGAAACTTAGAAACACACCAATTTTGAACAGAAACTTTTTGACACAATACAACACAACGATACAGCATTTCCAATAGAAAAACTTAAAAGAACTAAAGCAAACACGTCACTGTTGCAGAGAAGCTCTTTTTGAATACAACACAACGAGTCAGCATTGCCAAACTCTCTTTGACACAACACTGCACAACGATACATCATTGCCACATAAATCATGGGAAAATAAAGATTCGACAGTTGTTTTGGTTTTATTTGTTTCTGGCTTGTAATTGAATTTATAATACTTTTTCTGACAGGTAGAGAGGAAGATTAATATCAGATTTTTGCTAGAGTTTCATTGCGTTTACTTAGGACTAGAATTTGTTAGACTGTAAGTAAATAAACTGCATCTCAACATTATAGACCCTCGAGCTCAAGGTGCGCAGTTATTAGCAACTGACACACATTGACACTAGTACTGTATGAACGTAGAACATTTGTACTATTTCCCAAGACCTCTGCGACAACAAACTCACAAAACAAACAAAAGAAAATTATTACAAGAGATTAAGGTTAAAATTCTGCGTGATCATTGTTAGTGGGTGGCACATCAGGGACTACCCGAAAT